GCCGGCGATGGACGTGTAGGCCGCTGGCTCTGTTGCCGGCGTGATGAACTGGACCGCTGGCCTGATGAACTAGGGCTTGGCATTTGAAAGTTGTTCCTTTTTTTAAATTAGACACGGACAGGATGGGGCAAACGGATGCGGCTGCGCGCTGGACGCACGACCACCGCATCCCAGGACACGCCTGAACACGACCCCGTTGCCCTACCCAAACGGACAGAATTCGGACAAAACGGACGTCCGTTTGGGGTCGCGCGATGGAGTTGGCCTAATAATCATTATTATGGTAATTTTAGGTTAAACAAAAAAAATCACTCTAACAGTGTCGTCCGACTTCATCTTGCCATAATTTATAGAGTGCGCTTTATATCAAGCCCATGAGGCTTCGTATTTGGAGACTCCGGTGTTGCTTGAAGCACGCTTCATCCATCAACTGCTTGTGCGGGGGAAAGCTTCACCTCCCTTCGCAGTCTTTCATGTGGTCATCTTAACGCGGACGACCATGTCACCGGGAAGCATGGCAATTAATAGCAATCATCACGTGTCAATTGTTTTTGGCACCCCCAGCACATTTTCCCGGCACCCACTCGCTGGCGTGGCCATAAAAGAACCGTCCCTTTGCCGAATAGCTCACGACCTTCACTTTCAACACCGCTGCACTAGCCACTTTGTTCCTCCTTGTCGTCATGTCGCTTCCCTTGCGACTGGACTAGTTGCCGGGAGGAGAAGCGAATAGGATATCTAGGCAAGTACCACCGTCTAAGGCTAGGTTAAATCTATTCTTTCTGAAAAAGATTCAAATCTATTATATGTTTAGGAGAAGTACAAAACACCTCAAACATGATAAAAATTACATCAGTGTTCCTAGACAACTGAATGACCACTGCCACAGTCAGAACAAGCTGTCAACGCGTCGATGTCGCCGCTCTCCTAATGGAGCCGGCTTAACCTTCTCGGTGACAACTGAGAAGTCTTCGCACATGTGCCACTAAAGACCGGCGCCTTGGAGCCACAGTCGTCGTCATTAAACCCTTGAATAGACTTGAAGCACCTAACATCAAATCTCGTCATCAGGCACGTATGACGAGAAACCCTAACCTTGTTGTCCTAAGAAGACGGCGGGAAACTATGTCGGAGCTCCATCGATTGCGTCTAGATGGACAGATTTGAGGAGGATCGAAATCCGAAAGACAAACCCGAAGAAGAAGCGTCGCTATCCAACCGAGCGCCACATCTATGAAGACTAAGAAACCCTAACCTAAACTACTAGCCGGAGCTGAGGCACCGAGATTCGCCTTCCTGCCACCGATCGCCGGAGCGGCGGACAGAGGGGAGGCCAATACATGGACTCATCAATGAGGCTTGAAAGGGAAAGTTTGCTCTAGCACGAAGGAGAAGGAAAGAAAATGCTTCGCGTGGCAGAGTGCTGGGTTATTTACTCGCATGGAAGTACTTCATGGATGACATTTGCTCAACAACACATGCACCATAGATAACCCAACCACCTGCTGCTGTTCAGACTTGCGCATGGATGGTGCGATGTGGCACGTCGTGCAAATTCCGGCTGGCAAGTGTTCGGACTTGCGCATGGATGGTGCGATGTGGCACGTCGTGCAAATTTCGGCTGGCAAGTGTCGTCTGCATAGCACTGCTCTTACTTGCATGGCTAGGTTAAAACTGTGTTTGCATGTGGTGCCAATAACAGACACAAACACATCTAAAAAAATACACTAACACTACTACTCGTATGAGATAGTATTGGTTGTTTCAGTTCACCATGTGTTGGAACTTCCGTGACATGAACACCTTGGGCAATCCCTTGTTCAGCCTTCCAAGTATCACTTGCATCTGTCATGCGTGGAAGGGAGAAGAGTGCAAGTTTCAGCAAGGAGCCGGAGGACACGGCACGCTTGCACGATCACTCAGGCTTGGAGTTTAGCTGAG